TATGTTAAGGTTCAAAATAAACAAATGGAGCAAGCAAGTCACTCTTTAGTATCATAGAGACGGGACCAGAAGACATGAGCACCAAAGAACACGTTCGAAGAGGTTGGTATATGTTAAGGTGCAAAATAAACAAATGGAGCAAGCAAGTCACTCTTTGGTATCCTAGAGACGAGATCAGAAGACAGGAGCGCCAAAGAACACGTTCGGAGAGTTTGGTATAGATTAAGGTGCAAAATAAACAAATGGAGCAAGCAAGTTACTCTTTGGTATCCTAGAGACGGGATCAGAAGATAGGGCCGCCAAAGAACACGTTCAAAAGACGATATCAACCTATCTGTTACAGTTCTGGAATATATTGCGGAAGACAGTGCTCAATGCAGAAAGCTGGAGGATATCTATGCCAAAAGCACACCGAGTTCCAGGACATTTTGTAAACTAAAAAATGTACACCAACCTTGTGAAAACAAGCTTCATCACTATGATTATAGCAACACTTGAATGGAGACCACGTGCATGATATGATAACATGATACCAGTTATACTGCGTCTAGTACACACGCTACAATCTCTGCTCAGTTTGTTACTATTACTATATCTAAATATTATATATATCAAAGGTGACTGACGTAGTAATCTATCAATGCACAGCCCAAACCACTGCACGGCTCGGGCTGAAATTTGGCATGCAGGTAGATGTTATAACGTAGGCATCTGCTAAGAAAGGATTTTGATTAATTCTAACCCCAAAGGGATAAAATAGGGGATGAAAGTTTGTATTGAACTTTGTCAATTTTAAATTGATCGGGTTGAGACTTTGCATGCATAAAGCTACTGTGACATAGGCATCTCCTAAGAAAGAATTTTGATAAATTCCACCCCTAAGGGGATAAATTAACGCGAGCGAAGCCGCGGGCAAACGCTAGTCTATTATATTGTTATTCTTCAGTCCCATGCATTATACAATTCGCTCATTCTGCAATATTGTAAAACTCGCCGCCGGCGATTTTTTTTTTATAAGGCGAAAAAACTTGGTGCGATGCACTCGTTTGCGGAAAGTTTGCAAGAGCAATACAAGTTAACAATCTTTTGTTTTTATAGCATTTCTACAGAAAGAAATATTTTAAAGCCACTCAACTCAGTTCATGCTCATAAAATGTCGAGAATAGCTTCGTGCCTTCAGTAGATGAGTGCTTAGTTATAAGTTTGAATAATACGATGTCTCTATTATTTTTTGTTGGATAAGTACAAAACTGTATATACATATACATAGAATAAGAAATGCGTTATCTGTCTGTACATTGAAGATATAAGACGAATACTGAGGGAATATATGAATGTAATAGAACTTAAAATTCTTATTGTTGGATTTTTTCTCTGTATATCTGTAAGTTTAAAATTTCATGTATTAGCTGATTTGGGCGTATCTTTCATTAATAGACTAACTTACTTAATATGTTGTTTGTTTTGTTTTGGTTGGTATACAAACAAAATACATAATCATATGGATACAAATTGTAGTACACAAAAAATAAAAAAAATAATTAAAAATAAGTATGAAATTGCAGGCTTAGATATTCTATATTATATATTTAAATTTTCTTCTTATATTATATTATATTTATATTCAATTCATAGTATTTACAAATGAATCGAATTAAAGAATTCAGTGATGAATGAATAGTATGATAATCATCTTCATCTCATCCCGGAAGACGTCCACTGCTGAACATAGGCCTCCCCAAAGATCTCCACGACGATCGCTGCTCGCATCCAATACCTTCCAGCGATCTTGACCAGATCATCGGTCCACCTTGGTATGATAATAAACAATATATCAGGACTATCACTCTGAATAGCACCATCTGGTCTCAGACTAAGCAGAATAGAATAGAAAATCATTTATTCAAATAAACTTAATTTAAGCACTTATGAATCAACATTTTTTTTAAATCTACCGCTTATTCGGAAAGCTGTCTCATCACAAGAAGAATAAGCAAGAAACTTGTGTGTTGCTCTTTTAAACAATCCTTGTAAGTTCACATTTTACAAGTCGAAACGTGTGAATACAAACTACCAACCAGCACTAATTTATTTAGGCTCAAATATAAAAACGCAATAAGATTAAATCAGTCGTAGTGATAAGAGCAGACCAGTCCCTACAAGCAGCACTCGTTCACGAGTATGACGGATGAGCCAGCCGTCACTGCGCTCGACCATATTTTAGGGAGCCCAATGACCCGGCCCACCACGCCGCCACATGTATGGACATTTTAGTGAGCATGACTACTCATTCCACTCGACAACGTCACAGCTACAAGCTGCATTACATAGCTGATATTATGAGCATTAGACAATTGATATAAATACTTAGCTAATTTTATTTATAAATATGTACATAATACACATAGAGAACACCCAGACCGATACAAAGAATCATATTAGAGTTTGTTATCTGGAGCACTATTTTAACCACGTAATCGTCTTTGAATATGGCTCTACCAGCGCAAGTGACTTTTTGTCACTTTTTTCACGAAAGGAGCTACTCTGATGATGGTTCTACTGTTTACCACTATATTCAAAATTAGTTGTAGCTTGTTTCCCATTCCGCTTACATAAATATTGCTTGTATGATATGTGTTTGAAGCTATAGTGCGTAGGCAAGTCGTAATAATAAAGATCAAACGATGTTACAATGAACAATTCCTTCCTAATTAAATGCATCGCTTAATCCATGGAATTGAAGTGATCGAATAAAGCTTTTAGAATAGAAAATCATTTATTCAAATAAACTTACATTGAAGCACTTTTGAATAGTCATAACATTTTTTTTTTTAATCTACCGCTCATTCGGAATGCTGTCTCATCACAAGAAGAACAAGCAAGAAACTTGTGTGTTGCTCTTTTAAATAATTTATTCTTACTTTACAATTTAAGTTTAAGTGTGTGAATACAAACCACGGATTAGCACTAATTCAATTAAATACTCAAAAAGTAACTAAAAACTTTGTACAAACTTTGTAACGTAATATATCATTACATAGTACAAAACAAAGTCGCTGTCGCTGTCTGTCCGTCCCTATGTATGCTTAAATCTTTAAAACTACGCAACGGATTTTGAAGCTGTTTTTTTAATAGATTGAGTGATTCGAGAGGAAGGCTTATGTATAATACATGTACACGCGTACAGCCGGGGCGAGTAGCTAGTTTATATATACATATAACGTAATCAGTTGGTAGATTTGTTTCATAGTAAATATCAAGTATATAGGTATGCAGAACTAAGAATAAACCTTAAAGTTTTAATTAAAGAAATAGATAGATAGATAGATAGATAGATAAAAATCTTTATTCGTATCCCGATAACAAAGATAGTACAAACAAAATTCAAATAACACATAAGAACAGTAAATAATTATAAAAAAAAAAATACAACACATAATACTTTAACTTCCACATAAAATAAAAAACATAAAATAAACATTAAAATATATATTAGGTGCCACAGGGATACGAAAGGGTTGAGCTACTCAGTGAACAATTTGCTCAGCGAGCAAAACACTGATTTTCAGTAGCAGCCCAGTGGTGGTGCGATCGCGTGCAGCGACATATTCACTCAACAATCTTAATGTTACCAAAATTTAAATTAAACTAATTAATAAAAATAATAAAAAATAATAAAATAAATAAATCAAAATGTATCAATATCAATATCAATTCAAATACAAATAACTGTTGACGCAGACCATTACCTAAGCGACCAAAGGCTTTCAAAAAATAATAATAATATATAATTGGCTAGGAATTGTCTAGTAGAAAAAGTTTTATCTTTTTCTTAAATACCTGTTTTGAAGTAATGGCTCTTATAGGTGGAGGGACATTATTCCAGCATTTAGTCGCCTGGTAGCGGAAACTTCCCGTAAAAGCAACAGTTCGGTGAGAATACATTGCTAAAGGAACCCGTGCTGATCTAGGGACGCCGACATAATGACTTTCAAAAGATGAAAATTTTAATTTATTATATAAGTATTCTGGATTTTTAAATGTCATTATATCAAACATCAGTACTGCGAGATGCAACCGCCTCCGTGATTCCATGTTAAGAATTGATGCATTATTTAGAAATGGAGAGACATGAGTACGTGGAGGTATGTCAAAACAGAAGCGGCCACAAGCATTTTGTACGCGTTGCATTATATTCCGAGAATTACATACAAGGCGAGGACCATATACTAGATCACCGTAATTGAACTTAGAGAGAATAAGGGACTCACATAATAATATTCTTACTCTCTCTGTGAGATAATTACGTACTTTATATAATATTTTTAAACGGTAGAAACAGTCTCGGACTACATTTAATACATGACGCTCGAATCGCAACTGGCTATCAAAAATAATACCCAGATTTTTTGCCTCATCAACACGTACAAGATCAGTTCCAAGTATCTTCACGGAGGGACTTCTACTTAGAATGGCTTCTTTCTGGTTTTTAGAGCCAATGACCATGAATTTAGATTTAGATGGGTTAAGGACTAGAGCATTATTAATTGACCAATGAGCAATTCGATCTAGATCTTCATTTAAAGCCTGTACCGCTACGTTAACCTTATCAGGACGTTCAGAAATGTACAGCTGAACGTCATCTGCATAACAATGGTATTGGCAATTCCTTATTACGTTTGATAGATCAGCGCTGTATAAAATAAACAAAAGCGGACCAAGTATTGATCCCTGTGGAACGCCTCTTTTAACTGATCCAGGATCCGACAATAAATGACACCCATCATCCTTTAAGAGTTTAACAATTTGATAACGATTACTTAAATAACTATGAAACCAATGCACTGTTTGTGACTCAAATCCATAATAAGACATTTTCGAGAGAAGTAAAGGAATATTTAAACTTTCAAATGCACGAGAGAAATCCAGAAGGGTCAGTAATGAGCCTCTTCCTCCATCCTGCTCAATTAATAAATTGTCAGTAACATCCAATAATGCTGTTATAGTACCAATTTTACGCGTCCCTTCCGGAAACCCGACTGTAAACTTGGAAGTATGTTGCTCGCTTCAACATATTCAAGTAACTGCTCATTTACGGCTTTTTCTAAGATCTTGGACAAAAACGGTAAAATATTTATAGGTCTGAGATCCTTTAAATCATTTGGTTGGGTAACCTTGGATATGGGTGTAATTAGTGCTATCTTCCATTGATTGGGAACTATGCCTTTTAAAATTGATTCATTAACTATGGCAGTAATAATAGGTAGGGTATGTGGGAGAGTAAACAAAATCATGTCTCGAGTTATACCATCACTGCCTATACAATTAGACTTAACTGTGTTTATGTACCTAACCACGTCGTTTTCACTTACAGGGCGCAAAAAAAATGAATTTGACGTGTACCTAAAATTTTCAAAATATGACAAATTAGATATGGGAACAGAATCAGGACCAGGCACATCTAAAAAGTGGTTATTAATTAAATTAGGGTCCTTAAACTTATTTGATAGGCATTCATTTTTATCTGAATCAGTAATAATTTTCTCTTTTATATTTTTCCAAAATTTTTTACCACTATTAACATTCAAATTAACAAAATGATTGTAATAGGCTCGTTTCTCACTTTCGATACTTTTTGAGACTAATTTCTTCAGTTCTTTGTAATAATTCTTATGCGTTTCAGATCCTGATTTGCGATATTTATTATGAGCTTTATTACGCAGTTGAATCATTAATTTAATCACATCAGTAATCCATGGTAGTGGTGTAGCGTGTTTAAATTTCGTTGTAACCAATGGCGCATGTTGATCAAATAGAGACAACAATAAGAAGTTGAATTTATCTACCATGGAATTAACTGATGACATTTTTGATACTGATTCCCAATTCAGTACTATAAGATCCCTGTTAAATTGATCAATATTTATTTTGTTCATAGGTCTATATGTAACAAAACTTGGCAGTACTTTCGTTTTCTTTAAATTTAAACTAATATTTACCATTGAATGACCCAGGGATCCGGTAATATTGTCCACAGTTACGTCACGAATTTTACAATTAGTACACACAAGATCGATAAGTGTTTCAGAACTCACCGAAGTGTGCGTAGGGTCTTTTACTACCTGTTCCAAATTAAGATACCTCAGAAATTGATCAATTTTCACGAAGCCAATACTAGATTTATCCAGCATATTTACATTGAAATCTCCCAGCAAAACCATGTACTTGAAGTTAGAAAAGTGGGAAACAGATTCAGTTAACGCATCAATGAATGTATCTATTTTCAGCCACTGTGGTCTGTATGCTGTTCCTATGATTATGCGATGACCATTTACTCGTATCGATAGCCACATTTGTTCGATGTTATTTTCGGGATGGTTCAAGAAGCGTACTCGTATATCTCTTTTAAAGTAGAACGCAACACCACCACCTCTACCACCACAAATGTGTCTTGGGCGCGGTTTGTTGCGCAGTCGATAGCCGGGTGCTACTGGCGCACGTGCCTCTTGTCCTTCCGGCAACCACGTTTCATTTATAGCTATTATGTCAGGTTCAAATCGATTCATCGCTATCAGAAAATCATCGTGACCCGTGTTTAGAGATCCAGCATTATAAAGACCTAACTTAAGATATTTTGTTTTAGAATTGAAAGCTAATATAATATAATAAAAATACCAGGCTACATGAATTGATCCCAAGGCTAAATAAAATAATGAATAATATTAGAAAGTACACATTATATAAGTAAACATACATAATCCAAATGTACTGTAGATATAAGACAGTAAATAAATCTATTATGATTAGAGAATTAAAATGTACACTCGATTTGAATTGAAACCCTGGGGCACATAATACACATCTCAAACATTTATGCTCAGAACATATATACATAGAACCACCAAAAACAATTATGAAGCTAAATAAAATATTTAATCTATCAACAATTACTCTAAGAGGATTGGTACTTTTTGTTATAGAGTTTAGATGATAATAAAAATAGTAACTTGGTAATTTAGGTAATATAACATAGAAAAATTCATTAAGGGCAAAAATTAAATCAATGGATTTGATAATTAGACCAAATAAAAGAGTACAAAACTTACTGAAAAAGTACATATACAAAACAGTAAAACATACATATGATTTAGAGGATGTTGACATACAAACAAAATAATAAAGGTTTATCAAAAAGAAAGGTAAAAGAATAAATATTATTGCAAAAAATTCATTAGGTATATAAATTAAAACAATTACTATAATGCTTAGATGAAATAATTTAGAACAAAACTGAAAGAAAAAGTACATACAAAAATATAACTTTAAATATGGTTTATAATCAGTACCATACATAATTACTGGAAAAGAAGCTACATAGATGTTAATAATTATGCTGAGGGACAAACAACATCCTGACCAAAAATCCGTGCAATGTCATCTTCTGTCCTTATGCGAAACCGTGGAGCATCTTTATTTTGGAACTGGCGCACATATATCCTGCCGTCCCTTGTCCACACGTATCTCCAGTTCATCTGGTTGCCCAGATCGCGTGCTCGACGGAACAGCAGTCTATTGTTTTTGGTTAATCTCTCATTAACATAAAACCGCCGGGATGGTTCGGGTATATCCAAGCCCTCAGTAGTGGCACCCCTTCGTACACGCGCAGCTTGCAATAACCGATCTCGAACGATGCGCCGAGACAAACGCACCACTATGGGACGCGGCCTGTGCTCACCTACTTGAGAGGACGATGATACATATCCTACGCGTGTGGCACTTACTACATCTTGATCTGTCAATTGAACTCCCAATTTATTTGCTAGAGTAGTGACAATATGAGGAAGGCTCTCAACTTTCTGTTCCGGAATGCATGCAATCTCTACATCATTTAATAGCAACTCCTGATCTCGGTCGTTCAGTTCCAATCTCAACTCTGTCATAGACGCCTCAAGTGACTTGTTATTGCCCTCCGTTGCACCATTTTCTATACTATGTTCCATACCACTCAGACGCTCCTGGAGCTTATCCATACGCTCTTCACATTTAATGACTCTGCTCGATATTTTAGCCAAAGTTTCATTTAACACCGCCATCTGTGCTCTAGTAGCTCGCATCTCTTCTATCATCTCAGTTCTAAATAGCCGCATTTCTAAGGCCAATGACTGCATGTCTGACATTTCCACAGTTTCATTTTGAGCTGTATCATTATGAATATCCATAATAGACGGTTGCTCCGACATAGAAACATCAAAATGAAGCGGACTCCTCACAGCTCCTCCTCGTTGAGTTGTGACTGCTTGAAAAGCAGCACGAGCTGGTGTATTAGTGTTATCGCTCTTGGGCTTCTTACTTACACATAATACACATCTCCAATTTCTCCTATGTTCATCAACTAATGTATTATAAAAACGCTGTTCGGATACATTTGCACAGTCCAGATCATAAAACTGATTGCATCCCTCACACAATAAATATTTTCGGTCCTTAATTGTCCTCAAACAGCCGGCACACTGCATGTTGTATGATAATATTGCTCAAAATATATTACGTGATCATAAACAAAAAAAAAAAAAAAAATGTTGTGGTCAGGGTTTGATCGCACATCCGTCCACAAATAATTACTGAGAATAACCACTAGGCCAACGTTTCATAAAGTCAATTTTTGAAATTAACTACCATATAGCTGCGTAGAACCGGTTAACTGCCACTTTGTTCAATAGTTAATATGATTCACATCCAGTTTACAACTGACCTTTGTACCCATTGAAGACACTCAAACAGTTGCCGTCACTTCTTAGTTACACAATTAAATGTTATTTAAAATGTTTACCGGATTCAAACTGCACTACAAAATGAATATTTAATTGTAGGTTATAATGTCTCGATTAAAGGATCATTCTGATAACTTTAAATTAATAAATCAACGTTTTAAATAATTTTAAAGACAATAGAACCACTAGAACGGGCTAAACGCGTCCGTTGCCGCTGCCGCGTTCGCGTGCCGGCTAAAATGTCCTACATGAAATATTTATTCATGTAGGACATTTTAGCCGCTTATGAACGTAAATTTTTTTATAATATATTTTTTTGTCCAGTACAGTGTACAGATTCAATTGAGTAGAACTGGCAAGATTTTATTAATTTTCTTTTTTTTTTAAAAGCTAGTTTATTTACAATGTTTAGTTATATAGGTGTCTAGTATTAAATGAAAATACCATGCGTGGACAATTACTGCCATACACGCTCGTCATTCAAGTAATCATTTAGTGAGTAATAGGCTTTGCTCTGTAAATATGATTAACGTAATGTGATACTTGGTAGATTTATTTGATGGTAAATGGTAAATATTATCTAAATATATGAGCAGCATTACCGTTATTATAAAATATAGCATATATATGTCATAAAAAAATTTGATACGGTAATTTAATCATCAATCATATTATAAAAAACTCTAATTCTACAGTATACTTATTATAAAAAGGCATAAAAGAATTAATTTAATAAAATGTTCCGCTATCAATAAAATATTGAATTTTTTAATCAAGTTTTTTTTCGTTTAATAAATTTTAAGTAAATAAATATAGTACGAGATCAGTCTTATTTGATAGTCAAAGTGTTAAAAAAATCACTCCAAACATTAAAAAAATACAATACTCCCAAGTAAATGTCGGAGATACGAGAGGTAATTTGATAGTAATAAAAACACCCAAATTTAGTACGTTCTTTTTGAAGTCGGTTAAAAATAGCTTGGCATATCCATACATAATAAAGCAATACACATTTGAAGAACAATTACATCGATCTGTGCCAAAGAACGGTTGGATGTTTACCAAATTGTGCCTCATTTCGAGGCAAAGAAGTTTCGACAGCACTCACAAAGTTAGCCGGTTGATTCCCGTTGTCGGCTGGTTGAATACTTGCCGAATGCCTGCAGCCTTTATTTACATCCATTACAATCTTTGTAACTGCTGATCTGATTTACAAAAGTTAGCTACAGGTTTTTATAATGTTAAAATTATTTGTTTAACTGCGCCCGACAGAGTAATCCATGTTAAGGCGTAATCTGCGTGAGTACGATAAATATACCTAATAAATAAATAACCTTGGATAATTAGCACAGCGCCATCTAGTCCCACGGTAAGCAAAGCTTGTGTTATAGGTACTAGATGACTTGATTATTTAATTGAAATAGTGCTAATTGGTAGTTTGTATACACACACTTAAACTTAAAAATGTAAAGTAAGAATAAAATTATCTAAAAGAGCAACACGCAAGTTTCTTGCTCGTTCTTCTTGTGATGAGACAGCTTTCTGAATGAGCGGTAGATTAAAAAAAATGTGATGACTATTCAAAAGCGCTTCAATGTAAATATATTTGAATAAATGATTTTCTATTCTATTCTATTTTAAACAACTGATATAAATAATCAGTCTCTATAGTAGTTGATACACAACTCTAACTTTTTACTTGATCTATTTAATCGGTGTATGTATGTATCATAAAAATGTAAATGTAGAACTTGCTTGTAGGTAAGCATAAAATAAATTAGATTTTTCGTAGAATACCTAACAAATAATGTATTACTTAATAGGTTTATATTATTTTGTATAATTATCCTAGCCTGTTTGCGCTCAAACACATACAGTGCGGAATCGTGATCATATTCCGACCATAATTGAGTCTAAACCCACATCCCGTTCCGATCGATCCCCCGTCCAATTCAAAAGGGAATCGATATTACGGCCTGAGCCGAAGCTCGAACCCTTAGCGGTACCTTCAGACTACAAACGTATCCGTCAGGCGGGAGTTGGCCTTCAGCCGCTCCATAAGTCCTTCCGCGGGTTTAGAGTGCCATTTGCACTCGCCCCCTATCGTCCGGTGAAGCTGTAAAGGACAGCTGCGGCTATCAACATTAGAGTAGTCCGAAAAAAAAAACCCATATTGTGATACGTGTTTCGCTTCTGAACGAAACATCATTAGGCATTGAATATAGTTCGGATATTCTATAGTTTTGAAGAATTGCTACTTTGAAGTGGCAATGGGCAGGGCACATAGCTCGTAGGACAGATGGCCGTTGGGGCAGTAAAGTCCTCGAGTGGCGACCACGGACCGGAAGACGCAGCGTGGGAAGGCCTCCAGCAAGGTGGACTGACGATCTGGTCAAGATCGCTGGAAGGCATTGGATGCGAGCAGCGCAGGACCGATCGTCGTGGAGATCTTTGGGGGAGGCCCATGTCCAGCAGTGGACGTCTTCCGGGCTGCGATGATGATGATGATGATGATTCTATAGTTTGAAAGCATAGCTTTGACTGTTCAGCGACTAAACCTCGCTTAATTCAATTCGATAAAATTTAAATAATTTAATTGTCCTTAATAATAAAAACTACTGACTGTAAATAATTCTAAGTTCATAAATATAACACATCTGTTAATATTTGAAGGCTTTTAGTGTTTTTAGTATTATAATTTCAATCGACCACTACTATTCACATGTATAATTCATTCAAAATCAATACAGTAAAAAACTATTTCAATATTTATGTATTACTACTCGCCCCGGCTCCACCCGGGTGTACATGTATTATATATATGAACCTTCCTCTAGAATCCATCTCATCATCATTGCCTTCCCATTATCCCATTATTTGGAGTATCCATTAAAAAAACCGCTTCAAAATATGTTGCGTAGGTTTAAAGATTTAAGAATAAGGATAATAACGATTTTATATTTCGACGACCTCGGTGGTATAGCGGTCCAGCACACCGCTTTACGTCCAATGGTCGCGGGTTCGATTCCTCGCACGGCACAAACATTTGTATTCACGAGTATGATTGTTTGTATCGGTCTGGGTATTTTCTATGTACATTATGTATATATTTACGAAAAAAAAAATCTATGTGTATGTATCAGTTATCTAGTACCCATAACACAAGCTTTAGCTAGCTTAACTTGGGATAAGATGGCGCTGTGTGAATTGTCCTAAAAAAAAATAAGATTATTCAAGAATAACAAGATTATTTTAATATTTATGTAATACTACTCGCCCCGACTCCACCCGGGTGTACATGTATTATATATATAAACCTTCCTCTAGAATCACTATCATCATCATTGCCTTCCCATTATCCCATTATTTCGGGTATCTATTAAAAAAACCGCTTCAAAATCTGTTGCGTAGGTTTAAAGATTTAAGCATACATAGGGACAGACAGCGACAGCGACTTTATTTTATACTATGTAATGATGATAATATGTATTAATATATAACTATTTTAAAATTTGGTTTTAATACACCTCTCATACTAAATTGTTCTGCATACTACATAAATTAATGCATAAACAATTACTCCATTTACCGGCTCGCTTTATTACTCTGAATGTAAATTTAGCATGACTGAAATACGCTGTAATGGCCGGGATGGGCCATTATCTACGTATAATCCAGGATAGGGGAGCATGCCACTTATTCTGTCTAAGACGCATTGTGTTGGGCCTACAATGAGATGGGTTTAGAGTATGTGAACGATGATGGAAAAGTTTGGAAGCGCGCGATTAAGGATTTCCTTAGATTGTAGAGACGCGGATGGGACGAAAAATATATTCAACTAGATACCCACCCCGGCTTCGCATGAGTATACATGTACTATATATACATAAACCTTCCTCTTGAATCACTCTATCTATTAAAAAAACGGCTTCAAAATCCGTTGAGTAGTTTTAAAGATTTAAGGATACATAGAGACGGACAGACAACGACAGTGACTTTGTTTTATACTATGTAATGATGAATCATAAAAAGTGTAATATCAATACTGAGAAATCCATTGCAATAACATACATATACAATTTACAAATACATTTTGTCGATCTAGGAGGTCTAGCTTTCAATAGTACGTATTTTAAGTTTCATTTACCGATAATATAATATTATTTATAAAAAAAAATATTTATTAATAACTACCTACCCATCCCGGCTTCGCACGGGTGTATATGTATTATGCATATAAACCTTCCTCTTGAATCACTCTATCTATTAAAAAAACCGCTTCAAAATTCGTTGCGTAGTTTTAAAGATTTAAGAAGATGAAGATACATATGGACAGACAGCGACAACGACTTTGTTTTATACTATGTAGTGATAGTAATATCCGTGAACAATTCATAAGATCCCATCTAATCTAAAGCTAAACAGAACTTGTGTTATCGGTACTAGACAAGTAATAAAAAAAAATAGCTACTTTTTTTTTGTAAATACATAATTTACATATAAAACACCCAGATACAAAAAATAATGCCATGTTTGTACCATGCGAGAAATCGAACCAGCAACATCTGAAGTGAAGCAGTGTGCTAAACCACTGGATTACCGAGGTCATCATTTAAATATATATATGTATATATATTGTCAATTAAATTAATGAAATATTATTATAGTTTGCCGTACATGATATATGGGGAAATCCAAAATCCGTTTGCAATATGCATATTTCTAAAACGGAATGACTTTGTTCGTGCGTCAATCTAATCTATTTTTAATTAATTTTAAAATGACGTTTCTTTAATTATATACAATATAATATATATAAAAATTACGTGTCAAGTTGTTTGTCCACGATGGACTCCTAAATTACAGAACCGATTGCAAATTTGATTTGCACATTGCAATCTTAATTTATAGTCGCAATATTATTTTATTCAAAAACCTTAACCACAGCAACTCGTGGCTAGTTCCGCTAGTATAATATACTCGTATATTTTTATATATTTGGTTACTTTAGAACAAAATTATATAGAAAAATATACTTTTTATCTGATGGTAAATGGTAACAGTCGCATATACATGAACAGCACAACGGCCATCACGTAATCACGTGATATACGGAATCCCACTCGTCTTGAATTGAAACACAGTTTACAAAGCAACCTACTTGGCAGCTAATATAGGTGAGACTGAGGTATACGCAGATGACTTTTTGAAAGTCCATCTCAATATATTATTGGAATAGAATAGAATAAAAAATCATTTACACAAATAAACTTAATTTAGGCACTTTTGAATAATCATAGTTCTTCTTTTAATCTACCGCTCATTCGGAAAGCTGTCTCATCACAAGATGAATGAGCAAGAAACTTGCGTGTTGCTCTTTTAAATAACCGTTGCAATTTTATATTAATATATATTATGACGTGACTTTTAAAATAAAAAAAAATCTGAATATTTACACTCATTACAATAGATCCAATGAACTGCATGATTATTAAACTGATATTTTTTTTATTAGATATTTAGACGGCTTCGGTGGTCTAGTGGTTTAGCATACTGCCTTACTTCCGATGGTCGCGGGTTCGATTCCTCGCACGCCATAAACATCTGTATTCATGACTATGTTTTTCTTTATCGGTCTTGGTGTTTTTATGTATAATATGTATGTAATTACGAAAAATAAATCTATTTATTTGTATCAGTTATCTATTTCCCATAACACAAGCTTTAGTTAGCTTAACTTGAGTCTAGATGGCGCTGTGTGAATTGTCCTGAGATTATTATTATTATGTTAGTTTTTTTTGTGCCCCTAAATTTTTTGTATTGTCCCTAGATTGTGACTGGTCTGTACAGCTCTATTCTAGGGTTTATTAAATATACATTTAGTTACGAGAAACATATTCAGACACGGTACCATTGTGTTCCTGAATTGTACAGAGCTTGGTATTTCCTAGCATTTACCCTATTGTGTGCCTCGTAGCCACAGTGTAACTAAAAGGCAGTGCTTAACTTCTTTTGTTTTAATGAATGATTAAGCCGGGAGATTTACGAACTGCTTAGATACCATGATTGCGTACGCTGTGTATTATTACATTCAGTTAAATAATAATAATTTATACTATAGTAATACTGTAGAGATATATCTATCTAGTACCCATAACATAAACTCTGATTACCGTGGGACTA